AACGTTCAACTAAGCCATTAGCTTGTGGATGGTACGCGGTGGTGCGAATGCGTTTGCAACCTAGAAGTTCAGTTAATTGCCGGAAGAGTTGAGATTCGAACTGCGAACCACGGTCTGTTGTAATGCAAGAAGGAATACCGAATATAGAGATCCATCTGGTGACAAAAGCACGAGCAATCGTCGTCGCCGAGATATCCGGAATTGGAATGGCTTCAGGCCATCTTGTAAACCTATCGACGCAAGTTAGAAGATACGAACTGCCGTTGGATGGGGGAAGTGGACCAACAATGTCCAAGTGAACGTGATCGAATCGGCAGTCTGGTTGGGAGAAGGTGCCAACGGGTGCGTGAGTATGCCGAATGACTTTCGAACGTTGACAAGACAGACAAGTTTTTGCCCATGAACGGATATCTTTGTTCATATTCGGCCACACGAAACGTTGTGAAATGAGTTTGTTCGTTGCACGTATTCCTGGATGTGCTACATTATGTAGCGCGTCGAAAACGAGGCGACGCATTGCACATGGAACCAGGGGTCTTGGAACGGATGTGGAGAAATCACAGTCTATGGTGCCTGGTGCTGTTTGTAGTGGCACCGGTCTAATCTGTAGTGATGATTTGTCGGGTGATGGCAGTTTGACGGGCTCGTCCTTTTGTAGTTGCGCCATTCGCTGCAGATCGATCGTGGGTGCCGAGTGGAGTGAGTCAATTTCCGGACGAGATAAGGTGTCAGCTACGATGTTGAGATGTCCTGATATATGACGAATGTCACTGGTGAATTGAGAAATATAGTCAAGATGACGTATTTCGCGCGGTGAATATTTATCAGGCTTGGCTAGTAAGGCTGACGTTAACGGCTTGTGATCGGTATAGATGCAAAATTCGCGTCCTTCCAGCAAATGACGGAAATGGCGTATCGATAGGTAAATGGCTAACAATTCTCTACCAAATGTACTGTAACGTGATTCGGTGGGTGATAGTTTATGAGAAAAGAATGCAAGGGGCTGATAAGTACTGTCAATCATTTGTTGTAAAACAGCACCTACGGCGCCGTTGGAGGCGTCCACATTAAGTGATAAGACAGAGTTGGGTTGCAAATAAAATAACTTGAGAGAGTTCGCAAGGGAAGCTTTGACTTGTTCAAAAGCGGAAATAGCAGAATTAGTCAAATGAAACGTCTTTGGGTTTCCGGATAAAAGGTCACTGAGTGGTGCTAACAATGACGCAGCTTTGGGAACAAATCGTCTGTAAAAATTAATCATACCCAAAAAACGTTTAAGTTGCTTAAATGAGGTAGGTAGGGGAAAACTTCGGATAGCATCGAGCTTATCGTCAGTAGGCGCTATACCATCCTGACTAACCGTATGACCCAGAAAATTTAATGCAGATACACCAAAAATACATTTTTGTGTGTTGATAACAACACCATGGTTATGCAGTCTAGCGAATAAAAGACGTAAATGCTCTAGATGTTGTTCCGTGCTATTACTAGCGACTAGAATGTCATCCAAATAAGCGAAAACGAAAGGCAAACCATACAGTACTTGGTCAATGAAACGCTGAAATGTCTGAGCTGCATTTCTCAAACCAAATGGCATGCGTAAAAATTCGAACAAACCAAAAGGTGTAGTGATTGCAGTTTTATGAATGTCATCGGGGTGAATTGGAATATGGTGATAGGCGCGAAGGATATCAATGTGGGAAAATACTGTGCAGCCCGCTAGATTAGATGCAAAATCGTGGATGTGCGGGATGGGGTAACGATCAGGGGTCGTTATATTGTTTAGCGCTCGATAATCGCCGCAAGGTCTCCAATCTGTTGTGGTTTTCTTTGGAACCATGTGGAGCGGCGAAGCCCATACGCTTTTGGACGGCTGAATGATTCCTAACTGAAGCATATGCTGAAATTCCTCTTTAGCAATTTTCAGTTTGTCCGGGTGTAAGCGACGTGGGCGTGAAAAGACTGGAGAACCCTTGGTGTTGATGTGATGTAAAACCCTGTGCTTCGGGTGTGGTTCGTGAAAACTAGGCTTCTGAATATCGGGAAATTCACGAAGCAATTCCTGATATGGTGATTTACCGTTTGTACGAAAAGTCAGTGGGTATATAGATGGGTTTGTCGTAGTATGTCCTCTAACGGAGAGGTTTGTTTCAGAGTCTAGTAAACGCTGTTGTTTGAGATCTACGCATAGATTGAAGTGAGTAAGGAAATCTGCGCCTAATATCGGTTGTTGTATATCAGCGACGATGAAAATCCACTGAAATTCTCTGCGAAGACCGAGGTTGAGGTTCAGTGAATGTTGCCCGTATGTTTTAATTGTTGACCCGTTTGCCGCTGTCAGGGTAAGTGGGGAGGGTGCAACATTCGTATTCAAGAGGGTGACTGGAATTACGCTAATATCGGCGCCAGTGTCGATGAGAAATCGGAGACCTGAATTCTTATCCAATAGAAGGAGACGGCGAGTGATGTAATTGGGGCCTTGGACGGCACTCGCCTTTGCTGTCCGGCCTACTCGTTTCCCATCTGTGAAGTTGATGTGCTAATAGTAGTACGAAACGAGCAAGGTGGTGTGCATTTGCGTGCAGAGCGACCAAATGTTTCATGATACCAACAGTAATTGGATGTATGGTGAGAATGCGACGAGCGTGAACGTGATCGTTTGCGTGCATGATTGTGAAAACTTTTACGAGGGGCACGCTTAACGGATAAAAGGGCAACTTGGCGTGACAAGTTTTCAATTTGCGAGTTCATGAGCGCGAGTTTAGGAGAGTCATCAACTGCGTTTATGCTGGCATAACCAGGTTGAATCTCTAGTATTTTATCCGCTATACTCGCAAGCTGGGACAATTGCACACTGTCAGTATTAGCTGCGAGAATAGATTGCACATGTGTCGGTAGTCTTTTGAGAAAAAGTTGGCGAAGTAGTGCGTCGTCAATCTTTTTATCGCCCAGTATACTATAGAGACGACGTAAGAATTGAGATGGTGTACAGCCATCTAGGGTCTCGCCACTAATCAGCTGTTCGAGTCTTTTACTTTCCGAAAGCGTAGTGCGGGCGATGATTGTATCGCGTAATTGGGTGTAAGGTTTGACGCTGTCTGGGGCCATCAGGATGTCTCGCAGATCTGCCGCTACTTCTGCTGGAAGTATAGCTAACACATGGTAGTACATAGTGTGTTCTTGTGTGATACTTCGCAGAGCGAACTGCGCCTGCACCTGCGTAAACCAAATTCGAGGATCGTGGTGCCAGAAGGGCGGGAGATGAATGGAGGTGGCATTGATGCTGGGAATAACTGGTGTTGCAGTGTCTGACATGATAGTACTGAGGTATGGGCTACAACTTTTGTCGGGCTCACCAAATTGTAGGTGCTATTGTCTTTTTACTCGAAGTAATATCAGAAGGTGAAATAGCACTAACAATAAACAGTTATGTATAGTGGCTACCAGAGACACAAATTACAACTGAATAATGGACAAAAGAAGTATGAGACTTATCGAGTTCTTCGTTTGATAAGTTGTAGCCGATGCAGCCAATGTTTGTGGGACGCCGTTGAATTGAATGGGGTCTTGACCGAGTGTGTTGAAATCTGGCCTGTTCTTTGTCGTTTAATCCAAAACGATTTCGAGCCCAGACTTTTCCTGCACAGTGAGTCGTGCGTCGGCTTGAAATGGTCTGGTCAAGGCGCTGTGTGAACTGACGAGCGTCGGGCTGTGGGATCGTTGTTCCGCATATATATATATATATATATATATGTTTATGTTGTGAGTGAGGATGCGCTTGCAGTGTTTGTCTTAGGATAAGATTCCAACACTCTTGGTTAGTCGTGGGGCGCATGTTCGTCATAATGCGGACAGGAATGAAACAGCGGGTGTGCATGCGTTGAACAGATTATATGAGTGGATGAAGGTAAACATTAATGAGATGGTAATCGGACTGTGAAAGCGGTTGAAGATAAACGTTGATGGGGTGGTAACCAAACTCTGGTAAAGTGATCGAAGATAAACGTTGAGGGGATGGTAACCAATAGATCGTTTTCAAGATTCCCTTATGTACTCGTTGCACGGACTCACCCGGACAGAGGCACCGTTTTATGTATTTCAGCCATGCATCCAGCTTTTCTAAACGATCCGGAATTTCTTCTTACATACGAAAGGCATTGAAAGCGTAATATCAAATTAGTTTGGAAGTTATCGGCTATGCCATGCCCTTCATATATTTCGTTTAAGGATGAATAGATGAACGAAGCTGAAGTGTACGTCGAAAAAAGTCAGGATGCCCGTGCGTTTTTGGTTCGGAGATCGAGCACACACTGCCCATCGGAAATGCTTTCCTGCTGA